GTACATTGCTCTAGGCAACATTATTCCTCAGCCAATGAATCAGATGATTAATAAGTGTAACACGTAATTGAATTCGAAGTCCATGCTTGCCATCCGCTAAGCAGAAGAGGTTTCATTGTATATTGTTATTGATGGAAGGAAACTGAGATACTTTGGCTAAACAAAAGGGGGTACAGATGGCATCGTGCTTCAACCACGCAAAAGAAGCCTGCTTAGTACATGCTTGCTGCATGCCAGTTGCTGCTTTCTGGTATTTTAGTGAAGGAAGAAGATTTTTTTTAAGACACTAAAGTAAGTATCAACAAAGAAGTGATTTATCTTTATATCAGAATTTTGGCTTGGAGCACAATCAGGATTTGTTTCTGTTTGGGGCTAAGTAGAAATATATGTGAGACCAAAAATGTTTTTCCTGAACCTTCAAAGCTACACCCAGTGAAAGAAATATTAGCTTCAAAAATCAAAGTGATTGGATTTTCTAGAATCTGTGCGATAGGATGAGAAATATACATAAACCAGAACAGTCTTCCTTGTTCAATGTTAATACCCTTTTTTTTCCAAGATGGAGTCTCATTTTGTCACCCAGGCTGGAGTGCAGTGGCACAATCTTGGCTCACTGCAACCTCTACCTCCTAAGTTCAAGCGATTTTCCTGCCTCAGCCTCCCAACTAGCTGGGACCGCAGGCACATGCCACCACGCTTGGCAAATTTTTTGCATTTTTAGTAGAGACAGGGTTTCACTATGTTAGCCAGGATGCTCTCAATCTCTTGACTTTGTGATCTGCCCACCTTGGCCTTCCAAAGTGCTGGGATTACAGGCGTGAGCCACTGCGCCTGGCCATGTTAACACTTTTTATAAGAAAGTATTAGACCTATCAATTTTGCAACTACATAATTATTGGTATTTGAAATACAGACTTATATGGATGAAAAAAGTCAGAGTCACTCATTCAAAATGTAAGCATAAATATGACTTCCATTAGCAATACCAGGTGCTTGGATAGAATGGCCCAGCCTAGTCATCCCAGCAGGTCAAAGTGGCAAACCAGGTCAACACGAGGAGAGGCTCTTACAAAACCAAACAGAAACTTCTTTCTAAACCAAATCATTTGGAAAACACCGGAGCAATCCATGAAGTATTTCACTGAGGTGCAGACATTCCAAAAGCTAAACAAATATTCCTGGAACGAGTGCCCCAAGCCCATCAGCCATGGACCTGTCCTTACTTCAAGCAAGTCAGGATTTCAACCAGGTCAGGGTTGAAGAAGAATAATTATGGTCTAAGCAGCTGGCGTTTGTTCCTAAGCATGGTCAAACTATGGGTGAATGCCAACGGTCTTTAGTTGTATTGGGCAAAGAACTCTGAGTTCAGTAGGTGTGTGTGTGTGTGTGTGTGTGTGTAGTATTCTGTGTGTGTTTCATCTTTAATAAAATTTATTTTTAAAATGTCCTTCTTGTCTAAGTGGAACTAACAGACAAAGAGACTGCCCATACTAAGAGACTGGGGTGTTTGCTTAGGGCAGGGGTACAGGGCACACCTATTCCTCACCCAGTGAAGCTGTGGGGGGGGGATGGAGGAATTAGATGAGTCCTTAGATAGCTGTTATAACCAGAGAGGGAATGGGCATGCCTGCATTCTTGACAAGGTGAGGATAATTCTGTCCTCATGTGATTCAGCTTTGTTGATGCTACCAGATGAGCATTCCTGAAATAACTGGTTATTTCCCCATGAAGTCCTGGTCCTGGTCCTGTCCACTCAAGACATTATGGGTGTCTCTAAGAGATGGTGGATGTTTCCTGCCTTGAGTTGGCCACCCTCACGAGTTTCTTTGCTATTGGCCATCAAAGTCCTGAGAACCTTGGTGTGATACCCCTGTATTCATCCCTGCTAAAATTCTAATGAAAAGCCACGTCTCTCAGGTCATCATGTGGGGTGGTAGATTTCACCTATTGACAGATACGTAGGGATAGATCTGGACTCGGAAGTCAGGAGGACCTGGGTTCAAATCCGTACTCATCCATTTACAGGTAAGAGACCTGGAAAAATTACTTAGTCTAAAAATCTTTGTCTCATTGTCTATAAAGATGCAGACAATAACAATGACAATGTCATAGAATTTTATATGGGCTGAATGAGATAATCCAATGTAAATGTGTAACACTGGGTCTGACATGGTAAGAAGCAAAAAGTATCATTTTATCAGCATAGAGTGTGTGGGTGACTTAGGATGAGGAAAAGCAACAGAGAAGTTCCATTACCTTTTAGATCTCAGTACATGTCAATATCAATTTTGAAATGTCATTCAACAAAACAAATATATACCGAGTTCTTATTAGGTATCAGACAAAAATTCCAGGAGTTGGGTAAAACAGTCAGTGTCCCTACTCTCATGAAACTTACATTTTGACAAAGAAAGAAAGGAAGGGAGGGAGGGAGGAAAAGAAAAAAGAAAATTTAATTCATGTAGCAGTACAAACACTTAGGCATGATGATAGGAGTGACTTTTGCAAATCCCCCCGACATGATTTGTCTGTTCCCACCCAAATCTTATCTTGTATTTTAACTCCCATAATTCCCACATGTTGTGGGAGGAGGCTGGAGGGAGATTAACTGAATTATGGTTGTGGTTTCCCCAATACTGTTTGATGGTAGTGAGCAAGTCTCACAGATCTGATGGTTTTTAAGGGGAAATCCCTTTCGCTTGCCTCTCATTCTCTTTGCCGGTCCCCATGTAAGATATTCCTTTGCTTCTTTTTTGTTTTCTGCCATGATTGTGAGGCCTCCTTAGCCATGTGGAACTATAAGTCAATTAAACCTCTTTCCTCTATAAATTAGCCAGTCTTGGGTACGTCTTTATCAGCAGCGTGAAAATGGACTAACACACCCCCAACCCTAGCCCTAACCCTGACACAAGCCCTAACCAAGCAACTTTGGTTATGTCAGAAATAGCTAGCGTTGTTTTTCTTAGTGATCACAACCAAATTTCTCACCACTGAATCTGGAAAAGCGGAAGCAGCATTCTAGGACCCTGCCAAGAATGGGAAGGCCAGGAAGGGTGTGGTCCGTGTCCTAACAACAATCCACCTGTAACCAAACAGGGCTGTTCATCTTTAGGAAACTCCTGAGATGGTGGACGCGAAAATGCCACCCTTGCTGGAAGAGGGAGCTGAGCCCCGGGGAGAGCATTTCTGAGGGTTCCATGGCATCTGTTAAGTCTTCAAACACAGGAGTCTCTCCAAGTCAAGCGATGAGAAAGTGTATTTTTCACCGCAGTTTGCTGCAGCATGCTTCAGGGAGCATGTGTGGAGCCTCTTGATGGGGAGACCGGGCAACTGCCAAACACATTCACTGTGGGATTTTGTGACTCGGAGCACATGTCCTGTGAGTCATAGGACATGAGACAGTGAGGAGGTGGAGGGTAGGGAGAGGGCGAGGCACTCCAGAGGCTGCAGCAGAGGAGAGGAGGGGACGCCTTCTTTCTTCTCATTTTTAAACTATAGAGGCAATTTTGCAATAAAATGGATTGTCTACCAAGTATATTTCCCTAGAGCTCATGAAGCGCTGGGTCCTTTGTAGAAATCCAAAGACAACAAGATGAAAATTTAGCTCATGATCCATGTTTCAATTTGCCATTTGTGGTTTGTAGTGACTGGTCTGAGCCTTTGAGTAAGCTAATGGTAAAACACGGTTGCACGCTAGAAAAGCTGTAGTTTACAGCAAAAGCAAAGGCGCTGCGGGCAAAAACTTTAATCACTTCAAAAAGGAGTAATTCGCCTTGAATCATCTTTCCTGCAGGCAGTGAGATGTGTGGAAACAGGCTCCGAGCTGTGGGTAAGAACACCTAGGTGCCAGGGCTGCCATTGCTGCTTGTTGGTAGATTCCTGAGCCACCCATGCCCCACCTGGAAATACCATGAGAATCTGTTGAATGAGGTTCTTTGCAAGCCACAGAACACAATATGAGGATGAAAATTTCTTTCTAGTCAAATTTGTACAGTATCCACTGACAGCACAGTTCACATGAGACCACAAAAAGATCCACGTACCACACACCCAGCGCTATGCACCATGTACTAGGCACTAAGCACCCAAGCACCATTGCTGACTTGGGGTTAAAGATGAACACATGCCAAATAATAACAGCGTGTTGGATAAGAAGGTAAAGTTAGACCTTCTGACCAGAATAAAAATTCGTTCATTTGACCAACATTTACATCTTTTGCACTTATTTTATAAGAGGTGCTGTGCTATGTTCTCTGAGAAATCCAAAGCTGGATCAGAAACAGCTCCTGCTGCCAGAGAAGTGATAATTTAGTAAGGAATGTAAACTCACATACAAATATCTATAGTGCAAAGAGGTATCATGCTTTTACTCAGGCCTTGGCCACTGGGGGTAAAACTTTTCAGGAGAGAAAGAAGCATCACCAGAGCTCTGCTTGGTGAGCTCTCAGTCTCAGCCTTAGCTGCTGCCTCCCTGGAGCTCTGGGAGTCTCCTGACGGTTCTACTGAGGTGCTCAGGAAACTATTCCCCGGTCTCCTCCTTGGGATTCACCACAGTCCTCCTCTCTGAAGAGCTCTCTGCCAAGGTTCCTGTGGCAGCTCTGTCCCCCTCACCCACAGAAGACATCGTGATAGAGAAAATCTGTAATTTTGACCTGTAAACACCCTCCTACTCTCACTGTCTTGTATCAGGATCCTCATTTTCTATAGGAAACTGTTTCCCCCCACTCATTATAACCAGGTCATTCTGGTGTGACCATCAATTTGCATCCCTCATCCCTTTGGCCTCTTTGATCAGTCCCCAGTCCCCAGGTGGGCACAGAGAGACACTTGCCAAGCCAATCCCAGCCTTACATAGACTAAAACTGTTAGATCACCAAGCTAGGATGAGAATAGCTGGAGCCTCCAACAGCCACATCTCCTGCTACACGAAGGAAAGCTTACTGCAGTTGCAGGGAAAGAACTCAAGCCAGAGGAAGAGTAGAAAAGAGGGAAAGCTGTACCTGAAGATATCATTTGGATCCTGGGATCCGGCTTTTCCAGAGGTCAACTTCATCTTCGCCCTTCCCAGATGGGTGAGCCAGAAGATCCTCCTTTCAGCTCATGCTGATCCACAGTCACTGTCTTCCTTCTTCCAGCATCATTCCTGCTGCTGCCAGCTGGCTCGGATGTCCCCAGTGGAGCTGCCAGTGCCAAGACAGAGGCCTTGTAGGTCTGCACCAAGACCCTGGAGCTGATCTTCCCTCAAAAAAGTCAGATCTAATGAGGATAGCTTTTTCTTTCTTTTTTATTTTCAGCCTTTTTTTTTTTTTTTAGATGGAGTCTAGCTCTGTCTCCCAGGCTGGAGTGCAGTGGTGTGATCTCAGCTCACTGCAACCTCTGCTTTCCAGGTTCAAGTGATTCTCCTGCCTCAGCCTCCCATGTACCTGGGACTACAGGCATGCGCCATGCATAATGGTGTGTGCCTGTAGTCCCAGGTACACGGGAGGACTGCATGCTGGGATACAGCATTGTCTAGTTTCCTGCTGTAGCACCTAGTGAATCCAGAACACAGAAACCTGGCAAGCTTCAGCAGGGTGGCGGGGATGAGCAGACACAGAATCAATGAGCTGAGAGGTGGGTGGAGGATCTGCAGTGTCTCCAGAAGCAGCCAGAGGAACATGGGCAGAGCGACTGCTGGGTTGAAAGGAGGCCTGAATGAGTGCTCAGGTTCCCTTCACCTTTCAGCCTGGGTACCTTGTTCTGCTGAATCCCCTCCCACTTCTGTGCCATCACCATTTCCTCTCACTGGCTCTTTTCAACTCACATTTAAATGTACTTAGTTCTCTCTAATCTAAAAGAAATTTCTCTCTTGACTGCACCCTCCTGTCCATCCACTTTCTATCACATTCTTTCCTGTTGGTCTTGAACGAGTTGTGTACCCTTGCAACCTTCGCTTCCTTACATACCATCCTCATTACATGCGACTTTTACTTCCATTACCACAGAGCCACTTTTTCCAGTTCTACCCCTTACAACACCAGCTATATCCCCTCACTGATTTTTGCAACATTTTGTTTGTATGAATTAATGAGTCTGTAATATTAACAGCAAAATATTGCTGAAGGGTCAGGATCTCGGGCATTCTCACTAAAGGAGCTGTTTAAAAAAAAGAAACAGATTTGGTATTCCATTTCCTGAGTCCTGGGATGAATTATAAGCCATGCCTTTCCCTGTTATCTTTAATTCTTCCTTTTGCCTCCTTATCAAGCCACATGTCTCTTGATTTGGGATTAATCTACCTGGTACAATGACTAACATTTCCTATTTCAGAAAATTACCTTTGATCCTTGTTCTGTATCAAGATAGGTGCTCAGAGAGCACAATAATAGCATACTTCCTTCAGTTGCCTCCCCAAAATCCCGAGGGGAAAGGGTAGAAGTTTTACACTGTGGGAGCTCTTGACATGCTCTGAAGAATGTTACAGGTACGGCCTGCCTCAGCCTGTTCTCTTCCCACTGAACAAGGAGCTAATGCTGACTGTGGAGTCTTGGGCATCCTATACTGAAGACTCCAGCATCAATGCCTGCCATTTTTTTCCTTCATATCTTGGAAGACAAGATGCTCCCTTACTGTTTCAGGTCATTGCCTTTGCCTGTAATTTGGACCACACCCTCTCCAGGGAGATGTTCCATAGGAAGGGTGACTACACAATTTGTTGTCTTCACCAAGAGTTTGGAAAATAAAACAGGGCACCAACTCAACTGGATGCTGGCACAGCAGGTACATGTGAGGACTAATTCAGGACTGGGATGTGTGGCCACCTTATCTACAGAGATCTCTTCCCTTTTTGATACTTACAATGTGGCCCCTGAACAGTTTTTCCTCAAGCAAATAGAGAAATGTGGCCCAATCCTCTCCTCTCGGTGACTGTGCCTTTCTGTCTCTCCCATCCCTTCTACTGTTAAATACCTCCTTATCCTTGAGCTCCAATTATACCGCCATTTCCTTGTTCCCCTTGGCCCACACGACTATGCTATCAGGAAGGGAGGGATCCAATTTTGGTTTTCTAGATAGATAGCAAGCACCACATATTGAGCAATGATTGCTTTTCAGATGGGCTTGAACTAGTACCTTTGTCTTATATTCAATTTGCAAATTTATTGGAATCTATAATTCATTTTCATTTTATTGATTGTTCCATTACTTTCTTAAATATTATATATGCATGAAAAACCTCAATGAATTTCAAATTATAAAAACAATCTGCATTGCCTAACTACAGTGAAAAAGAAAATAAACGGTACCAAAAAAGTACTGATATAGTTTGAATGCTTGTCCCCTCAAAATCTTATGTTGAACTATAATATGCAGTGTTGGAGGTGGGGCTCAGTGGGAGTTGGATCATGGGAGTGGATCCCTCATAAGTGGCTAAGTGCCAAATCCTTGGTATTGAGTGAGTTCTCCCTCTGGTAGTTCACACAAGTTATGGTTGTTTAAGAGTGTGGCTCCTCTCCATTCCTGCTCCCTCTCTCACCATGTGAAGATTCCTGCTTCTGCTTCACCTTCTGCCATGAGTAAAAGCTCCCTGAAGACTCAATAGAAGTTGAACAAATGTCAGCACCACACTTCCTGTACAGCCTGCAGAGTCATGAAGCAATGAAACCTCTTTTCTTTATAAATTACTCAGTCTCAGGTATTCCTTGACAGCAATGCAAATGGACTAACACAAGTACCAACAATAAAAATGCACAAACTGGAGCAAGAAAAAGCCTGCTTGTATCAAAGGCAAATCACAATTTCAGTGCAAAGTATTTATAAAATAGCAATAAAAATGCCTCATGTCTAAACAGATGCAGTTCAGCCAAAGTTGCCCCTAGAGATGAATTCATAGCCTTCAACATGTTCATTAACTTAAAAATGCATTAAAAGCTAAACGTTAAACTCAAGAAGTGAGGAAAAAAAGGAAAAACAAAAGAGAAATTAACAGAGAAAATGAAAAAGCAATTTAATTGGTGAATAAATCCAAGTGGCAGTTTTAAAAAAAATTAATAAAATAGAAAAACCACTATTGACTCTAACCAAGAATAATTGTAAAGTGAATACCTGGTGATCACTGCGCTTTCTTGTCACTTTTAACTCTTCTAGAAAATACAAATCAGATCTTCAATGGATGCTTCTAAACCGAGAGCAGAATGCTGTTTTAAATAGTTTATTAACTCATTGATTTATTTCTTAATTGTATACAAGTGCTGAGAATAGTGCCTGGAATATAGTTGCAGCTCAAAAAACAAGGGATTACAGGCAAATGGGCACCTCCAACTCCACAGGAGTTGTCTCAGACGAGGACAGTTTTCTTGAATAGGGTGAGCACAGGGTTAGCTGGCCTGTGACAGGTGCCTGCCTCCATGGCATCAGTGACATTGGTATCCATCAGCTGCATTGGTACAGGTAGCTACATACAGCACATGTAGTCCAGCTTTTTGGACCTACACTGTGGCTAGAATCCAAGGGAAAATCACTTTATCAAGAGGAAGTTAGCACATGTGAAATTTAAATAGATCCTTCATGATTATTTTATAAAGTACACCAATTTAAACTTCAGTCAAAAGTGTATAAATATAGCAATTTTCACAACCCTAACTTGCATGTAATCGAAAGTGTCTGTTATAAGCTTGCTCTTTGTAAAGATTGGCTTCCCATCCCCACCCTGCCCCGTTCCCCTCCTTGGTTAGGAAAGTTGATCTGTTTCCTTTACAGTTGCTATGGAATTTGGATCTCTACTACTCGTGGAAATTGCTTTGGATATCTCCTGAGGAGGGTATCTTACTATTTCTAGTCAAGTAGGTAGGTAATTATAAAAATGATAGATATTTGATAACTTATCTTCCCTTCAATGTTTAAAAACACCACATGTATTAGTCCATTTTCACACTGCTATGTAGGACTACCTGAGACTGGGTAATCAATGCAGAAAAAGGTTTAAGTGAGTCACAGTTCCAGATAGCTGACGAGGCGTCAGGAAACTTACAACAATGGTGGAAGGTGAAGGGGAGGAAAGACACATCTATGGTAGGAGAGAGAGAGAGAGAAGGGAAGTGCCACACTTTTAAACTGTCTGATCTTGTGAGAACTCACTTTCATGAGAAAGAACAGCATGGGGGAAACTGCCCCCATGACCCAATCACCTTCCACCAGGTCCCTCCGTCCACATATGGGGATTATAATGTTGAGATTTGGAAAGGGACACAGAGCCAAACCGTATCACCACACTTTCACCATGTTAAATTACTGTGCTCTAGATTTGTTTCCATATTGTCTTCCACTTACTGCCTGTTCTTGAGGTATTGCCACACTCTTTTGAACAGAATAACTTATTACTGTTGGGGCACAGAGAACAAGATCCCAAAGCATGGTGCCTTGGCATGCTGAGTGCTTTGAATTAAAGGAAACAGGAAGGCCTCCGAAATAATCCTCAGAACCAAGGTCTCTCTCTTACCTTCTCCTCCTTTCCACTTCTCTGATCCTTTTTTCCCCAAAGCACTAGAGTGGCTTTCTCTGAAGTTCCCTTATCTAATTAAGAGAAATTCTTCTAGAAGAAACGCAATTGTCTTAAAACTTTGTAGGAATCTGAACAAATAACCAGGCAAGATTAACCACAGAAGAGAAGAGACTAAAACTTGTCATCACCTCTAGATAGACTTTTCATCTATTTTTCTGGAGACAGCTCTAAGATATCACCTGGGAAACATTATCTGCATAAGACCTTTGTTCACCGTGAAGTTTTACCTCTCACCTTCTCACACCACCTCTTCCAGAGCCCACAGGAACTCTTCATCAAAGGCCATTGTTCCTCGGACTCATTCATTTTCCCTGAAAAATCATTTACTGCCCCTCACAATTGGCTACATTTCTCCCATTTCCCTCTCCCCAATGAAGAAGATACATAAGCTTCAACTATCTAGTCTTTCTTTGAGTCTCATATTTTATATGGCTCCTTTACTTAGTCACATTTTACAACTTGTCCACCTTTTCTCCTAGTAATCTCTCTGTTGTCAGTTTATTCCAGCAAAGCATCAGAGAGAATGTAAAGGAAACTTTCCTTCCACCCCTAAAATACTATGTCCTTGACCCAATAATGATGGCTCTCCAAGAATCTCTTCTATAGAAGCAATAGCACAAATACATTTTAGGATGTTCAGTATTGCTGGTATTACTAAAACATAAAATAGAAAAAACTAGGAGAAAACAATCGGGGGTACGTTACTAGACAGATGAATAGAAGACACTATGAAACCATTAAAAGTGAGATCGATCTACTTATGTGGAAATATGTTAACATATAAATTTTAAGAAATTATATATGTACACACACACCACACGCACAAATATAAATAATGATTTTGCTGTATACAAATGTGTCTGCCTATGAGTATAAATGAATCTGAATGGACTCAGAGCAGACTCAGGAAGACTACCCATTAACTATGAAGGCAGCTACGTATGAAGCAACAGATTAGAAGGGGTAAGTGATTCTTCTTTTTTTGAAGAA